TTTTTACAAAAATTTAGCAGTTGCTGTTTGAGTTAGATTTAAATTTACTAAAAAAAGGGTTGATAAAATTTCTATACGAATATTTGAAAACTGTATTCTATATCTTTCAAGCTTATATTCTAAGAACAGAGATACCTCATCACAGAAATAATCTTATGGAATAATTATTAGGCTATCCATATTAGATCAAATGAGCATTTTGCCATCAAAAAGAAAACACGTCATTCTTGCTTGAAAACAAAACTTTTATTAACTTTTCTTTACGTGCACGACGCCGCACTGCAAAAGACGTTCGGGTCAGTCTGCTCGATGGTTGCATTATTTTTTATAACGGCTTGGCGATGATTTTATTCGCTTCAATTTTTTTTTCTTTTAATGGCGGGGCCCTTGGGGTTTGTCCCATTGACCACAGAAATGCCAGAACTGCTACTCTCTTCTCGTAACCCAGTGGGCACCTGTGGCGAAGTCACGGCGGAGGAGCAGCGTCGCCCACGTCCCACAACCCCGTTTATAGGGCGTGTCACATTCACACGAAGAGGAAAGGACATAGAACACACAGAGAGAAAGAAACATCCATGCCCTGAGCAGGATTCGAACCCGTGGCCAATGGCTCCGCAGTCAGATATGCTAACCACCTGGTCGGCTCGCCTCAATCTAACAGATTTTTAAAAAAAAATAGGCAAAGTGGGTTTTAGAATGTTTTTTTTTAGAAATTTTGCTACCAGGGTTTCTTTAATCTTTTGAGGACGATGGTCTAACTGAAACTGCTATTTGGCTACCACTTAAAATATTTTTAAATTTCTACATTGTTGTTGTTGTTCATTTACGTCGCACTAGAGCTGCACAATGGGCTATTGGCGACGGTCTGGGAAACATCCCTGAGGATGATCCGAAGACATGCCATCACAATTTTGATCCTCTGCGGAGGGGATGGCACCCCCGCTTCGGTAGCCCGACGACCTGCATGCGAAGTCGAGCACTTTACGGTAGAACAGTTTAACGAGGACAAATACCGCGCACCCTCGGTCCCTACGCAGGCTGATCCAAGTGGTCACCCACCCGCACACTGACCGCAGCCAGTGATGCTTGACTTCGGTGATCTGCTGCGAACCGTCCACTGCGGGACAAAATTTCTACATAAAATTTTTTTTGTTAAAAAATAAGCTCTTTAAATATCTGAATGTAAAAAAAAAACTCTCTAATTTATATAAAAAATTTAAACATGTAGTATTAAAAAAAAATAATAACTTACTGATAAAGAAGTAAAATGTCTGCAGCCCACAGGGTGGATACTTCATTTACATGGGTGCCTCTGAGTTACTGAACAAGACTGAACTTAATTTTTTCCCCAATTAATACTGTCTAGCGTTGTTTTACAATCTTTTAGAAATTTACACCTCCTTGATAATACTCTACACGTTAAATCAATCATTTGATTATTTTTTCTAAAAACATATTATGATTAATTTTCTTTATTTTACTGTTTTCTTTAGCAAACAAAACACACCACTTATCCCCTGCTGTATTATAGCTGACCTTGTATACTTTTTCCTTAAACCATTCATATCTCTATTTTTCACTTCACCATTTTATTTTTTGTTCTAGCACAATAATTTCGTTTTTTTTTTTTTTTTTAATAATCTTGATTATACTTTAGCCAGGATGTAAATAAGTAAAGGAGAAATGCAAACTCAAGCACTTTTAGATTCAGTAATAGTGAAAATTATGTTTACACAAGCAGCTTCATTGCCCGCACAGTTAACTTTGAAAATTGCCTATAAGTAGAAAAAGTATTTTAATCAAAACTAACTAGTTTATAACAAGATTTAAGTCGGCTATATATTAAAATTTTTGTCCTTCAATCTCAAAATTTTATTTTGTTGTTGTATATTTTAAAAAAATGCTTCAATAAAAACAAAAAGATATATAAGATCAGTGCATAGGTCAGTTAAATTAAATATTTTTTTTTTACTTCAACTTTAAAATTTGATTTTGCAGTTACATAGTTAAAAAAACATTTTAATCAGAGATTGTAGTCAACTTTGTCAAATTCTTTTTCCTTCAACCATAAAATTTAGATTTTATGTAGCAGATATGAAAGAAATTTTTTTTTAATGTAAACAAAAAAAGCAATAGCTAATAATACTAATAAAAAGAATAAACGATTTATAGCAGTCATTTAAAAAAATGAGACAAATATGTTTAAATTAGTTTTATTTTCAATTAAATAACAATAACACAATCATAAAATTTATCACATAAGGATACCAGGATAACAATTGGAGGACTCTTTAACTTATGAATTATATTGTATACTCGAAATACAATAGATGCATTCACAGGGTATCTGCCACATTTTAGATTTTCATAGCCATGACTAATTCCAAGAATTTTTTATGACTTACTTTGTTCTCCCACAAAAACACAATAATTTATAAAAGCATTATAATAACATTAATTGAAATGATAGGTATAACCAAAACTGTTATACTCTGCATCTTTATATTTATAGATTTTAAATTTAAAAAACAGAGTAAAGAGATGATGCAATAAAACAAGTGTAAAATTAAAAAAGTTAAAATCCCCCCCCCCCTTTTTTTGCAGAATTATATTCTAAAGATACTTTTCTTGTTCATTGGAAAGGAAAGAAATACTCCAGTTTTCTGTTCTCATTTCGGAATAAAAAAAATTTGCCAATGACTGGCTTGCTTCAGTTAGAATTTTAAATTGATAAAATAAAATAAATAAATAATAATAAAAATTTCGACATCATATAGGTTTAAAAGATAATTCCCTCTAGAAATGATGCTTCAAAAAAATGAAAGAAAAAACACCATAACTTTTAAAGAACTTTATAAAATATGACTGTGAGTGAGGATTTTGCTAGATATTCAGAACCCCATAAAATTGGGGGAGGAGGGGATTTCAATTTTAAAAATTTAATTTTCGGCAACCTAAATCCATGACTTTTTTTTAAAAAAAAAAAGTTAAATTATGACTTTCCATAATTTTTCATGACTTTCCAGGTGCGCAGATACCCTATATAATGCTTTTTTTTCGAAATTTGCATGGAAATTTAAAAAGAATATGAAATCACTCTTTTTTGTTTAATTACACTGTATTGCACTTAGTTTTTAAGTTCCACTTTTAAACTTGTTAAAAAAAATTCACTTGATTTTCACCAAGATTTAGCTAAAGAGATCAATAAACAAGGAAAAAAATTTGATTGTAAATCAACATATCATGAACATGATTGATAAGCATAGACAACATGAATGAAATTATTTGCAAATTAAAATATAACAGATAATCATTTAAAAAGAGGAATTAGTGATAATACGAAATATTTTATAACCATATATCAATTAAGGAAACAAAATCTTTGATTTTTTTTAAAAATACTAAAATTAATAATACTAATAAAATTTTTTTTAAAAAATGACAAATTGTCAAACAGAAACACATGCAAAGAAAATTCAAGGGAATATAAGAAATACAATAAATACATCATCAACAAATAAATTACATAAATTATTTCAAAATAGGAACAAAAACATTAACAGTAGAAATAAATATTAAACGTATTATAATGAAGAACTAAGGGTTAAAAAAATAAGTACATAATTAAAAGTTATTTAAAATAATATCGATACAAGTATTTACACATGATAAATTTTATAGCAACAATTGAAAACATTAAATATGAATTAAATATTGTATTCCAACTTGAGAAGTTTACTAATAATGAGGTACTGATATTTCGTTTTTCTTTGGTCCATGAATTTTTTACTTCAAAATATAATAATCACAATACTTGTTGCGGATATATTTTTTCCTCTGAAACTCCATAGCTTTGTTTTACATCTTTGATATGCTTATGACTATACTTGAAATAATTTTAGGTCATACATACAAGAGATTTTAATGCTGTAGATTTAAATCATTAAAAAATCGAATGTAAATCATTCACAGATTGTTTATTTTAGATTGAAATATGAAAGTTTTATAAAAACACAAATAAATTGAAAATACAAGATCTTTGATTTAACAAAAGAAAATCAGATAACATTATTTTCAGTGCAAATTTTTAAAAATCAAAATTAGACCTATCGAAATTAGACCTAATTTGATTTTAATTATTATAGAACTAATGAGCTATAAATCATTAATAAACAGACTGAAATGAATTTTTCTTATTTAATAAAAAAGAATTCATTTACTAACTATAATTTTGGCAGATGATGTGAATTAATACAAACATTAATAAAAAACAAGTTAATTAAAAGCCGAAAGGACATAATAATCTTAGATTAGAATCTTGCCAAAGTGGACAAAACTTATGATCTTTTAAGAAACGACCTTCATTTTCATTTTTACTATTACTCAGAAAGTGAGACATTCATAATAAACGTTCCTTAAAAATAATTTCTCTATCTAATTTTTAAAAATTTTTTCCTCTTTTTAATCTTTGTTTTCGATAGAGACATTTGGAAAAGACTGTTACATGATATAAGGAGTTCTTCTCATTAAAGGTTTAAAAATAGTAAAACAACAAAAAGCAACATTAAAAGGAGTTAATGTGAAACAAAGTTAGTTATTAATCTTAAAAAGAGGGGTTCTTAATTTTTTTAGAAAGTAGCATAAATTTAGAGGGCAAAAAAGTAATATCTATTTCAGGGGTGCACAACCTTTTTTGAAAGAGGGTTGAATATAAAAAATTGCGTTTTTAAAATTTAATTTAGCGTATAATTTTAATATTCCTTTGAGTAATATGGATTTATCAAAAAAAAATTTTTTTTTAATACAGGGTGGGTGCGTAGCCAGATTTTTCAACAAAAAATAAGCACCTTTTAAGTACTTTTTAAGCACTAAAAATATTTTTAATCACTTTCCAAAAAAAAAAAAAATCATAGTTAGGATCTGTGCAGGAATAAAAACTATTTTTTTCTATCATTCAAAGTTCTTAATTTATAAACATAAAACCAAAAAATTCAAAAACATTTTCAAAAACTTCAATATAATCATGATAAAATAACTAGTTTCTGATAAATATTGCAGAGAGAATTATGAAAATCATGCATTTTTTGTAATTTCGAACGACAATCGTCTTGGCAAAGGAACAAAAACTCTTTTTAAAAGATTAAATTAGCAAGCACCTTTAAAAAACATAAGAGCTTTTAAAAAACATAAATCAAAAATAAGCACTTTTTAGAAACGCTACACACTCTGGATTAAGCTCAACAAAATTGTGTGAAAATATAAAACTCAATAATATTGACTTCAGTTATGTACATCATTATTAAAGTTAAATAGGTTTAAAATTTTCTCAATAGAAAAATCAATTATTCTTTTCATTTTCTATACATAAATTATTTAAATCTTTAATTTGGATTAAAAAAAATATTTTCCTTTATCAAAATATGTTTAAAATAGAATATTAAAAAGAAAAATTTGACCACTTGAATTAGTACTTATGGATTTAAAGTTTTGATTCAAAATAAATTAAAATCAAATGAATGTTAGGCCTGTGCAACCCTAATCTATTCATTTCATTGAGAACACAGGGAGAAGAAATTAGAAAAATATCACTTATTGGTAGACACATACAAATCTAACATATTTAATCCCATAGAGAAAATATTCAAAAATCTAAATAACCTTACATAAATAGTCTCTATATAATTATTTACACAACATGTTTAAAGAATTTCTTTATTGCTGCTGCTCTTCAGAGGTGCTCGCTTCTTCAGTGGTTTGGGACATGCGGAGGGCTATTGTTTTTAGTATGGACGTACTGCTGTACGTATCAATGCTGCTTTTTAATTCAGAAAGAGACTTCTCTATCTAAAATAGAAAAGCAGAACATGTTGGTAAAGAGCAGTACTTACAGAACATTTCAACTGAAGATAAGCGCCTTTTAAGTACATTGTTAAGCACTATCAGGGGTGATTGAGACACAAACTAAAATACCCTAAAAATTTTATGACCAAAAAAAAAAATTAAAAATTTATATACTATTCATATTTATTATAATTTTTTGAACTAAGACTAATAACTAAATTACCAACTAATAAATATTATCACAATTTTATAGTAGAAAAATATAGTTAAAGAAAAAAAAAATTTATAGTTATAAAAGAAAAAAAATAGTTAAGTTCTTACAAGAATTGCGATATTGGATTTTAAAATCGCGTGAATATGAATCATGATACCTTAAGAACGCGAAAATACAAATCGCAATATTGGATTTTTGAATTCCATAATACGAATCGCGATGTATGATTTTTAGATTCAGTGAATAGGAATAGCAACATTGGATTTTAAACTGGTGTGCATATGAATTGCGATACTAAATTTTTAAATCACATGAATGCGACTCAGAAAAAATAACTTTTAAATCACGTAATAAATTTAAATTACGGAATAATCGAATAATTACCAGATGAATGAGTTTTATGACTTCCGTCAGTGCTTCTCGCCACCTCTCCGTTTCTGCTCTGTGCAGGGAATCCTGTTTCTGAAGTAAATTAATGTAATCTTCTTTGGTTAATGATTGGCTGTAAATACATTTTTGATTTAATAAGATTTAATTTTTGATTTAACAAAATATGATTTAAGAAAACTTGAAGAAATATTTATACATTTTTTAAAAAATGTATTGCAAAAGCACTTGATTTTACATCTTTGGTCTCCATGCATCATAGATGTACGATACTGAATCTTTTTAAAAAAAATTTTTTTTTATATAACCGTTGTTGAAAAGCCGACCCAATTTTTGGGTTTACAACTACTTATGTTCAACTCTGTAGCCTTGTAATTTTGAACCCAAAGCAGAAGACAAGGAATCTCCTGGAGTACCTGGTATGGTTTGCTACAGGAACATGGAGGACTTTGCGACTCGACAGATTTAATGTGTATCAGTAACCATGGTCGGCGGGGATCGTACCCACATGACTTAAAGGCAAGTTCTTAGGTTGTTGAATAAGGAAATACAGTAGAGAACCATTTATCTGGTATCTAGAAAACCGGGAAAATTTTTGCTTGGTTTTTCTGCCATTTTAAACTAGAACGATTATGAAAAAAAGGGGAAATTGGACTCATCCTTGAAGCAGAGTAGAGGAAAATGTGAGGAAGGAGAGAATTTTTTTTCCCGTTTACACAGCGAAACATCATTTCTTCCGTGACCTTGACCATCTTCAGATCGAGAAGAGGCAGGGAAGGGATGAATGTTTTATTTTCTCCTTTAGGCCGCCAATCAAACTCAAAGGAGTGGCATGCTGATTTCGTTTTCGCTTTAATTTACGAGGGGGTGGGGAAAATGTATGCACATGCTTATCAGTGAACAGAAGATGAAAGAGAAAAATATATTTATCTATTTGACATTGGTTAACAAATAAATAAAATATTTTTCTTTTGAATAAATTCTGATTCTTTAGATGTGCGGAATCGTTTGCAAGTTTTTCTTGATGTGGAATCACATCTGCTTTCGTTAAAAATCTGTGTTTTCATAAAAAAAAATAATAAAAGGAGAATTGTTCATTAATTTAAACATACAATTATTTCATGAAGCAGATTGCAGTTTTGTTTTTCTGATTCCACTATGTTTGATTTTTTTTTCACGATAAATTTAGCATTCAATAAATTATTTCCTTTTATTCATAAATTTTATCATTAGGTTTTTTTCTTCTTTTTTTAATTCCGTTAATCTTATTGATCTTGCCTTGTTCTGGGTTTCAATATTTATGTTAGTGCCTTTTTTAACTATCGTTTCAGTTTTCGTTGTTTTTATTTCAATTAATAAGTTTTACTTTTATTTTATTGTTTTCCCCCTGTATAATTAGGTATGAAATATATTGCGCTATTTAATCTTTGGTTTTGTTTATATTAGTTAATTTAGGAATTGTTATTATTTTTAAAAAATAAATATGAGAATTTTGTATTTTTTAAACTTGTTTTTCTTGTCTAAACTTGTAATTTTCTTTATTCCTTTAAATGTTATTTTTCTACCATTTTTTTTTAAAATTTAATTTAGGAGTGCTTTTCTTTTTTCTCTTACTTTAAAATGTGTTACACTTTTTCCTTGTAATTCGGGCTTGATAAAACATCGATTAACGACACTTTTTGGTCGATCCAGAAAACCGGGAAATACAGACATCCGGGATAGCGATGGTCCTGAGCATCCCGGATAATTGGTTCTCTACTGTAATAAGAAGAAAAGCTAGAAATACAGATGGTTTAGGTCTTACAAGGATATATGTAGTTTGCACCTTCTGGGGGGGGGGGGGGNCCTTCTGGGGGGGGGGGAGGGAGTTTGAAACTTAATTATTGCTATACAGACATATAAAGAATTATTTTCCATTTAGTACTTTTTTATGGTAGAACAGATAAGATCAAAGTAAAGTTAATAGGAATAAAAGTTTGGACATTTTATTAGTATAGTACTGAGTACACAATGAGAATTAACTTTTGAAAACTCAATGATGTTGTTTGACAATATGAAAGTCATATATTTACCTATCTGAATATTCCATGAATGGGACTTGTTTTGAACTTTGATCTTCTAAAGACCATAATTTATAGAAAAGCAACATATTTAGAAACAAAAGAATAACCAGCCTATAAAGTAACAAAATTGTTAAAAATACAGCCAAAATTCAAAAATGCACACTTTTTTTAATTCAACATTTATTCTAACTAGCTTACAACTATAAATAAATAGTTTTAATTTGCAGTATACAAAAAGGGAAAGTAATTCAATAAAAGGACCTATAAGTAATTTTTTTTAAAAAAATCAAAAACAAATCTATGATTTCAACAGCGTCCGTAGCCAAATTCTTCAACAAAAAAATAAGTACCTTTTAAACAATAAGAACTCTAAAAATATTTTTAACCACTATAAAAAAAAATCGTAAATCGGATATGCTACTAATAAAAAAAAAATTTCCTGTTGAAAGATCTGCATATACACAATGACAAAATGCAAAATACTTTTTAAAGACTTTACATGATCATGATAAAATAACGAGTTTCTAACAAAGAACTCTTTTCTTGATTATATTAACTAAACTCAGCGGCGCGACAGCCCTAGAGGGCCAAGGCCTACTATGCCCATCTCAGCTTTCTTGACCTTGGGTTCTGGGGTGCAGGAACAGATGTTCCGGTCAGGTGGTCAGCCGAACGCGGAACCCCCAGTGTTTAGTTTCCAAGCATGCTTGGTACTCATTTATCGACCCACTGAAGGGATGAAAGGCTGAGTCAACCTTGCCCGGCCCGAGGATCGAACCAGATACTTGTGGCATGACAGCGCGAAGCGCTACCGCTCAGCCACCGGGCGTCTCTTGATTATATTAGCCACTATAAAAACAATCTATACACAATTTTATACACATTCAAGATTGAGTTGCTCATTCTATTTTTTAAATTAATAATTGCTTTTTTTAATTATGTTAAAAAAATTAAATTAATTATAATTTTGAATTAAACTATTATTTAAAAAGGTTATCGAGTGCACTTTTTAGATTTAAATAAAAGTTATTTATGAAAGCATATTTTACAAAACATTATTGATAATATCAAAGTTATACAAGATATGAAAGAATTTGCGACAAAAACATGAAAATAAAAATAAAAGAAAAAACATAACAGTATACCATCTCATTACACTCATTGCTGGTCCAAGGGACTAAGACAAATCTTAGTGGACAAGGACGACAGTTAATTCTGATTTCGATACTGGATACAATTATTTAGACTAGGCAAAAATTTTGATAAAGACGCAAAGTTTCTTAATCTGAAAATTGTTTCAAGAGGCAAATTTTAGAACAAACCTACTCATTCCCCAACTTAAACTAGTATAATAAACTGAAAATTATTTTATTTCGTCAGTTGGTAATGATTACTACTTCCACTTACATGCAAGAAACATTGTTTTAAAGAGTGCACTGTAATCTAGAAGTAACAAACAAAAGTATAATTTACTTTTGAAAATTGTAGAATTTTGATTAGTCAATACTTTGGAAATTAATTTAGCAATTTTAAAGAAAAAAAGTACTACTTTTAAATTAAAATATCAAATGTACTGATACACAGGTCCATCTTTATTTTAATGTACAGTATTTTGTAGCAGTGCATTAAAAAAGAAGTGCATATAAAAGATTTGTACGGAAAAAAAAGGGAAATTCCGAATGAAGTTATTTCTTAACATTCTATTAAAGAGCAGCAAAAGGCTAGTAATATATCATACGGTAATTGTTATTTCACTGTCTCTTTTTGTTTAAAATTTCAATATGGCAAAACACCCAAACAGTATATACAGCAAAAAAATAATAATTTATTTAAGGAACATAGTTTAAATAGAAAAGCTTACGTAATTAATATGACTCGTATAACAATATCTGGAGTAGTACTAAGACAACTAAAGTCAACTACAGGAACAGAAGTACCTAAAAGAGTAAAACAAAAAGCAGTATTTTAGTTCCTTAAATTATTTTTTTTTAATAAAATATAATTAGTATAAAAATTTATAACTCAAATATTCTTCTAATTTTTCAAAGATTCAGGTCCAACACTTTATTATGTCAAAGGCACATGAAAATAACCTATGCATAGATGAAGGTTGACATTGTTGATATCTACTCCTTCTTAAACTTCTATAGATGTGAAACATATTTTATTCTACAGGATTTAATAATTGAAATGAGTTGCTTAAATTTTTTGTATAATTCATTATTGTACTGAATCTGCCAAACACTGCTTATTTATTTATTTTTTTTAACACTTTTGAAGATGGCTGTGAGTATTTTTCTTTCAGTTTCTTTTCCCCCCCCCCCTNTTTTCCCCCCTTATTTTTATTTAAGAACCAGCATTTGCTGCCATAAAGTAATACAGGTTTATTAGAGTATTATATAAATTAATTTTAGACTTAATGGAAATAAGCTTTGATTTCAATTGGTTTCTTAATTTTAAAAAAAAAACCTATTTAGCCATTGTTATCTCATAATAAATTTTTGTTTTAACATTATTATTAACATATTTTCAACGTTTACCAAAACATACCTTGTAATGTTTAATATATTGTGAAAAATACTTTAAAAGCAATGTCTTACGGCATTTATACCAATTGTTTCTTTACTTAAAAACTTTTTAATTCTAGAAAAAGTTGTCACTGATCAAAATTACAGCCTGGGGGCCTTTTTACAATGATGTATCGTGTATTATATTGTAGCTGTATTATATTGATGCATTGTATTAATGTATTGTAATGATGTATTATTAAAATGCCGTATTGTCTCATCCCCCTTTGTTCATTGTAGGATTTTAAAAAAAGACTGGTGAACATTTGAAACCCGACTAAAAACAAAGATTTAAGGGCGAGAAACTTAAATATTTTATTTCATAACCGTTGTTGAACAGCAGACCCAATTTATGAGTAATAATGTTCAGCTCCGTAGCCTTGTAATTTAGAACCCTATCCAGAAGACAAGGGAACTCCTGGATTAAATATTGGGCGAAACTTACCGTTGTGGAGGACTCTTTAATAGAACTCACCCAAATTTACATTACATAGAGAGGAAAACCACAAGAACCTCCCACAGTTCACTTCTTTCACTTAATCACAAAGTTGCTGCGATTAAAGCTACTGTAACTATCATTAAGGTGAAAATTAGTAGTTAAGAGCTGAAAGTTAACACTATTTGTTGAATTGGTCTGAAATAGTTAAACACTTATTCTTGGACATAATACAGTCAATTCGCTATAACTCAAAGTACGATAACTCGAATATTACTATAACTCGGTTTTTTTAAGAGGTCCCGACCCTTTTATCTTCAATTTCATGTTAATTATTCTTGATTACTCGAATTTTACTCCCTTTAACTCGATTTTTTTTTAATCTTTTAAAGCAAGAAAAAAAACCTAGGAGCTGATTTTTAAAGCAAGAAAAAAAAACCAAGGAGCTGATATCTGCCCCTTCCTTTGCAACACACACACAATGTCTTTCGCATTCTTCATGGAGAAGCTAAAGCTGTCCCTCTTGAAGTATGTGAACAGTGGTTAAATGAAACGTTGCCAAATTTACTTCAAGGATACAGGGAAAATGATATTTTCAATATTGATGAAATGGGTTTATTTATTAAATGTCTGCCAAATAAGACTATGATGTTTAAGGATGAAAACTGCTCAGGGGATAAAATGAGCAAGGAACGTTTGACTGTCCTAGTTGGAGGAAATGCGCCTGGGACCGAGAAATTGCTCTAATCGGAAAATATCAAAATCCCCTATGTTTCAAGAATGTAAAAACGTATCCTTTGGATTACGAGTCTAACAAAAAATTTTGGATGACATCAGTTTTATTTGAAGACTATGTAAGAAAATTGGAGCGGAAATTCTTCGCTAAAAAAAGAAAAGTGATACTCTTTATGGATAAATGCACAGCNTTCTTTCACTTAATCACAAAGTTGCTGCGATTAAAGCTACTGGAACTATCATTAAGGTGAAAATTAGTAGTTAAGAGCTGAAAGTAAACACTATTAGTTGAATTGGTCTGGAATAGTTAAACACTTATTCTTGGACATAATATTGATTTTAAAATGCTTTTACTTTTCCACTTTTAAATATTTAATTATGATATGTGCATTCTTTTAATTCATTCTTTACAAAAACATATGAAGGGAAGTCATTCCATAACATCTTGCACTCAGTCATTTAAAAAAACAAAATTAAAAATGTGTATACCAATGTTTTTCATGGTAGCCTGCCTCTGCAATATTCTAGGTGCATCTTTTAAAGTTTCACATTTTAGGGGCTCCAGTTTTATTCTTTTTCTCCTTCGTGTTTTTTTGGTTAATGGTTGCTGACTAGAAATTTCTGATTCTTTACGAAGGGCGCTCGCTGTAAGGGGAAATAAAACATAAGTATGGGTCATGAAAAGAAAAACTAAATAAAGAATGAAAAACAAAATTATAACAGAGAATGAAACAAAAACTAACCTAAATCAGTAGCGAAATCTGCTAAGCCTTGCATTGCACTTTTTTCTATAAGAGCTATAAATAAAAGATTACGATGAACAAATATGCGAGAAATTTTCCACTATAATTCTACTAAAGAGTCATTATTTATTAAGAATGCTAAAATAATTCAATTTGATAAACTGTGCTTAAATTGAATATCTTTATTAACCAACATCAATTTAAATATTTTTTCACACACATATACACCTTTAAAAACTTAAATAAAATAACTTAAATATACTAATTTACTGCCTTAGCACCTTAAGAAAAATATAAAAAATATTACAAATAAGAAAAATATTGCAAATGTTCCCATACTTTTAGCATTTATGTTTACATAAAGCACTAAAATATCATTTCTTGGTGGTCAAAATATGTAAGTTAGCTATTTATTTTTAGAAATTCTGAGTAAATCAATTTTTCAAATTCAGAGTTTTGCAGTCTTGAAGGTTTGCTGAAGTTGCCTCCTGATATTTTCCCCAGATTTTGCAAGTAAACATTAACATCTGGGAAAAATACAGACCATACTTTTATTTGAAACACAGTATTGAACACGACAAAATTCATTCACTGACTATTTGCTCCCAATGGTAAGTTGAAATTTGGCGTCTTGGCGTAACATGAATTTTTTTTTTCTATTTCCAATGGCCACCTGTGCAGGGGTGATTGTGAGCCCAACTCAAAAATCCTGAAAATTTCTTGAGTAAAATCATCATTTAGCCATGCATTTCAAAAAATTTATATCTTTGTAAATTGAAATCATTGCTATTTTCAAAACATGAAATTTAAAATAAATTATAAGCAGTATAATTTAAATGAATAATTATGTATAAGTTTACTTTTATCACTAAATACGCTTATTATTATAAAACACATAAATATCGTTTGCCAATATAAATTCTTAACATAACTTGAAATTACTGGACCTTGGAACTCCGGATCGTGGTTAAAGAAAATTCCGGATTTTTTCCGGAGCACAAGCATCTCTGCCTGTGTTAACATTTCGTCAATTCAGGCATTTACAGGGCAGATTTGTTGGCCACTCTTTCAGGGGCACCCTATTAGGTGGGCCAACGTTGCACAAACAGTAAGGACAGATAGTACAGAGAATGAAACAACATCTACGCCTTGCCAGGGATTCAAACCCAGAACCTTTCTGATGCAAGATCCCTGACCCCTACACAGTCCGGTCAGCACTTAACATCAATTCAAAGGTAGAATTTGCACAGATACTCTTGAAGTTAAAAATAGTTTGTCATCTGGGAAAAAAATTAATTGCAATAGATAATGACTTACATTTAACTAAGCCCCACACGGACTTTTTATAGCGGACACAGCCAGATATCCGTAGTCGAGTCTCTCGTTTTGAAACACTTGTGAGACAATAGACAGATTTCACAGTAAAAGCATCACTGTATGGTATTCCAGTATTAACAACATCACAATCAACAGTATAAACTTGTCCTGGCTTGCTATGCTTCAATAGCCTCTGCCAAATTAATAAAATAGTAGAGTTTCATTTTCAAAGCATATATCAAAGATTTTAATATACAGAAGACATTTTTTTTTTAAATTCCTACGCTACTGATTCACTGTGCTTCTACAGCCTATAATTTTTATCAATAATTTTGGAAAACAATATTGGAAGTATCTCAAACTCTAATTAATACTTTTCCCATGATTTTTTTTTCTTTAGTTTTTTATTTTAATTCCATGAGAAGTTCCCTGATTTTTCCAGATTGATAAAATTCTTCCAATTTGTGGCCACCCTAAATTAATTTCTGTGCATAATACATTCAGTTATGTGATTGCTGGAACAAGAAATTATTCAAAATTTCTTTAAAAGCTTTATGGTTAGACACGAAGCATTTTTTTCACCAATGTGTAGCTCAATTGATACTCAAGTTTTTTTTTTTTATTTACTAAAAAAAGAAAAAAAGCGCATTAACTGCAAGCTTTAGTGCTGCAACTTAATTTCCCTCCCTTAAATAATGCAGAGCAGTCACTATGCTTATTTATGTACAAAAATTTAATTTTCTATTTTTAAAAAATAAATAAAATAAACAGAAGTGGTTAATATTTCTTCGAATTTTCTATAAATGACAAATATATTTCATAAAAATACATTAACACTGAGTTTAATGTTTCATATCGGCATATTTTATTCTTAATTAGAAGTTATTTCGAGTATTGATAGTTGTGAAATCCAGCTACTGTTCGTCAATCTGTATTTTGGTGTGGTATGGACTACATTTTCAATTACACTACGAGTTTTAACATAACACTTCTAAAAGATAATAAAATGTTAGTGCAGTATACTTAGTAATTTATGGCCAATTTGTACAAAATAAACAGATTAAATTTTCTAAATTTTTTTGTGTGTATCATTTTAAAAATTGCATGCAGTGATTAACATCATTAAACTATCAATTCTTTGCAGTAAATATGAGAACAGCAAATAACATTGTAGCTATATAACATACAGTACTGGAAGAAATAATTGAAGAAAAAGCTTGCTTGTTACCTGAGTTTCAGTAGTTTGAGCACTTTTTGCCATTGAATGATTTAAAGTGAGAGTATAAGTAACTTGTCTCATTTTCAAATCAAACTCTGGGGTGATTTGCCAGGGACTCTGCATAATATCTAAACGCATAATATCTAAAAGTTAATATCTAATATCTAAATACATAATATCCATCATACAAAAATAATACATAAAATTTTTACGTTCTGTATTTTTTAAAAAGAAAATACACTATTATGAAAAAAACTAGACACTATATATTTTATTCTTTTTAAAATTATAATGTTCTCGTAAGAAGGATAAACAAGCGGCTTATATTAAGATATCAGAGCTATGAAATATAAATTAAAATTAGAAAATGAAACAATAATGTTCATGTAATTATTTTTTTTCATATCTCATAACATATTTCACTCCAAACCACAATTTTGGAAAGCAAAATGCAAATAATTTCACCTGAAAGTTTTGTTTAAGACATTATAGGAACTTTATTAAAGTCACACTAGAGCTGCACAATGGGGTATTGGCGACGGACCGGGAAACATCTCTGAGGATGATCCAAAGACATGCCATCGCAATTTTGATCCTCTGCAGAGGAGGTGGCTCCTCTGTTATGGTAGCCCGACGACATGAGTGCAAAGTCGAGCATTTTACGGTAGAACAATTTCAGATGACCGATACCGAGCACCCCCTACACAGGCTGATCAAAGTGGTGACTCATCTGCTTACTGACCGCAGCTAGTGATACTTGACTCCGGTGTTGTACTGCAGGACTTAAAAATATCATAAAAGAAAGGATTTTAAAACATGATTTTTTCCAATGTTAATTTTTTTAAAGAAGCAATTTCTTGAACCTCTTGACTGATAAAATTAAATTTTTAGAATGTTCTCCTTTATGTTGACTAAAAAACCGGGTGTTTATACAGATCTATGTAATTACACTTTCAGTTAAAATAATTTTGAAATAAAATAAAAATATAAAAATTTTGCATTTAAAGTTGATATGTTCAGTTTCATTTGTTAAATGAAAAGTAAAACACATACTTGGTTTTAGCATTCTAGAAAGAGTGAATAATAATGCATATAAATTTTACAATAAATTAATTATCCATGCAAATAAGTTATTTGACACGCAATAAAGATGAAAATTACAGTTGGTGCTGAATTAAGCATAATCATAAGTCAATATAAAGAGGAAAGTATCAAATCAAGAAAATATTTCATATAAGTTGCACTTTCTTTTTATTTTAATGTATGCATTTTATTCTTTTTAATGCTTTAGAACTATTTTTGTTTTGAATAAAGTAAATTGAAATATTGAGATTTTTTCATTTTTGCAAAACAATATAAAATTAATGTGGTTCAAGAAAAAAGAAGAAAAAAAAGCAATCTAATAAATAAATAAAACTTATAACCAATTGCAATTATTTTTGATGAGATAGATATAGATGTGTAAAATTAATTTTGTGACAAAATTTGTGTTTTTAAGGAAAACAATAACTTCAGTGTTCATAGAGATAACAATTTAATTATTCCTTAATACAATAAATACAACATCCATTTGCTTTTAAAAACAAAAGTTCAAGTAAAGCTTATTATGTATAACATTTATTTAGTATTTAAATTACTTATAAGTATTATTATTATCGAATTTATTCTAAGTAATAATATTTTGAGTAAGTAATAATAATGCTATAAGTATAATTATGCAAAGTATTTATAGTATTATAATTATTATTGAATTATAAAAAATTTTGGCAGCAAACTTTGTTTCCATATAAAAAATATATTAAAATAAGTCTTTAAAACTTTTTCTCAATTTCTTAAATAAATTTTTTTAAATAAAATACATATAAGTTTTAAAACATATCATAAAATTTATATTTGTTTTAATCATGCTTGGTTAAAAAAAAAATTTTAAAATTTTTTAATGATGATAAATTTAAATCTTTTAAAAGAAATGTGTTTCAAATTTTAATCTTATAATTTCAGTATTTCTTTTCAAGACTACTTCATTTTATGTCATAATCGACATTGAACAGCTAATCAAATTTTGAATTTATGACTAATAATGTTCAACTTTGTATCCTTGGAATTTTGAACCTAATCCAGAAGACAAGGAAACTATTGGATCGAGTATAGAGATAAACTAGCTTTCATGGAGGATTTTTGATGCAACTCACCTGCATTTGCATTACATGGAAAGGAAAGCCACAAAAACCTCCCACAGTAAGTCTGCTGGCAAGGGGATTCTAACCCATGATTATATTTTTATCTGAGGATATTTTTATACCAGCACCGTGGTCAGAGCGAGCCGAGCACAGAATTTGTACCGACCACCTCCTGCTAGGATTTGAATCTGGACAACCTAATTGGGAGACAAATGCTCTATTCCCAGCATACCTGCGGCCCTTTTTAAGGGTATTAAAATTATTAAATAAATAATCCCAAGAAACTAAGGCAGTAAGATAAATNAAATATATTAAAATAAGTCTTGAAAACTTTTTCTCAATTTCTCAAATACATTTTTTTAAATAAAATATATATAAGTTTTAAAACATATCATAAAATCTATATTTGTTTTAATCATGTTTGGTTAAAAAAAAATTTAAAAATTTTTTAATGATGATAAATTTAAATCTTTTAAAAACCTGTGTTTTAAATTTTAATCTTATAATTTCTTTTCAAGACTACTTTATTTTATGTTTTATCGACATTGAACAGCTAATCTAATTTTGAATTTACGACTAATAATGTTCAACTTTGTATCCTTGGAATTTTTAACCCAATCCAGAAGACAAGGAAACTATTGGATAGAGTATAGAGATAAACTAGCTTTCATGGAGGATTTTTTATACAACTCGCCTGCATTTGCATTACATGGAAAGGAAAGCCACAAAAACCTCCCACAGTAAGTCTGTTGGCAAGGGGATTCTAACCCATGATTATATTTTTATCTGAGGATATTTTTATACCAGCACCGTGGTCAGAGCGAGCCGAGCACAGAATTTGTACCGACCACCTCCTGCTAGGATTTGAATCTGGACAACCTAATTGGGAGACAAATGCTCTATTCCCAGCATACCTGCGGCCCTTTTTAAGGGTATTAAAATTATTAAATAAATAATCCCAAGAAACTAAGGCAGTAAGATAAATATAATACCTATTAAAAAACTCCACTTATTTCAAAAATATACAGATTGGAAATAACAGTTGACAAGCTTCAAGCACTCAAAAATAGATACCCGTTTTCAAAACTTGCAGAATAAATGAAAAGAAACAGAACTTTCAAAAGACTTTTGTTTCTTCTGATTTCTGTGTGGCAAATCTTAAAAATGATTGCCTATTTTTGTGCACTTGAAACATGTCAACTATTATTTCCAATCTGTTTATTTTTGAAGCGAATAAAATATTTAAATTAAGTAATGCTATTGAAATTAGTTTCAAAATAAACAAAAATTTCTTTATGCAACGTATGTAGGTTTTTCTAATAAATTCTTGGTTGCCATTGTGCATGAAGTTGTAATGCATTTCTACTAAAATCAAGTTTTACACTAGGGATACAGCTTTTAAAAATTTAGTACAGTGCATTCACTCAGAGTGATGGCTCCGAGATAGAGAGCTTGCCTCCCAATGAGGTTAAGCAGGTTCAAATCCCCGCGATTGCTGGTTGATTCGAATTCCACACGGAGCTAGAGCCTACCACAGTGCTGACGTAAAATATCTTAATGGTAGACATATCATGGGTTAGAGTCCTCTTGCCGTTAGGCTTAATTGTGGGAGGTTTTCTTGGTTTTCCGGTCCGTGTAACAGAAATGCGGGTTAGTTACATCAAAAAGTCCTCAATGAAGGCAAATTTCACCCAATACTTGATCCAGGATCTGAAGAGTCCATGTGTAGTAAAAGCGGTGACTGATGCAAGTTAAATCTGTTGAGTCCTCCACGTTCCCATAAGAAATCAAACCTCTGAGGGTACTGATTCAGGAGTTTCCTTGTCTTCTGTATTGGGTTCAAAATTACAAGGCTACGGAGTTGAACATTGGTAGCCGTAAACTGAAAACTCTGTCGGCTATTCAACAACAGTTATAAAATAAAATAAAATGTATTCACTCAAAAGTTGCTAACTATACTCAATTTCAAATTGACTTACCATAAGTTTTCCTAGATTCTAAGAGATCATTATAAAACTTGGAACCAGTAAAAATGAGAGCAAAAACCTGATCAACAGAGAGTGGAAAAACATCATTCAAAACTTCTTTTCCCTCGTGGCTGACGCAAGGACACTTGAATTCACTCTCTGCAAACAAATTAACAATTTAGTTACATCATTCAATGAATATCATTTTAAAAATTCACTTGAAAAAATTTACCTCTTGGTCAAACTTTACGGCTTAAACAAATTTAAAACTATTATTTTTATTTCTTAATGACAAATAGATTATTAGATAAAAATTATACCTATTTAATCCCAACATTTTTAATTGCATTATCACAGACTTAGTTTCAGCGTACATTGAAATAAAATTTAAACTTAAATTTATCTTATTTTGTTTAAATAAGGTAACATAAAATTTTATTTTTCAAATTTCAACTTTTGGATACTTTAAATTTAGTTAAATATATTTTAGTTAAATATTGTTTAGTAATATTATGTAACATTAATTTCTAAAAACAGTTTTGGCTAGAAACAATTTTATATAAAGCTTATTATAAAACTAAATATAATTGCTATTTAATAATTATTTCAAAATTGTTTGCTAAGTTGCACAATACTGTTTTCAATATGTTTTTCGTAAAATTTTTCAAATTTGTTTTTTTTCTATGATATTGCACAGTAGGGTCGTATGACATGCTTTATTTTATAATAAAAGAATACCACTTTTTGTTCTAAAGTTGTTAATTTGCAATAAAAATTTTAAAAAAATTTAATAAATAGAGAATAATATTAAGGATAATAACGAAATATTACAAGTTAATACCTAAAAAAGAGAATAATTTATAGGAATTTGTTAATTAAGGAGCCCTAGCATTTTCTGGCCTGTAGGAGTCCGCTGATAACATTGAAAGAACATTTTAGACTGTTTTATTTATGTGTTACATTGAAACAAAACAGTTTGGAAATTTGTCGCACCAATAAATTGCTAATATATGAGACATCTTCTCTCAAAAATTATAAATTTTTTCAAACGTAACTGCATTTTTACCCTGTAAAATTTTTATAAAAATATTTTTGCATGAATTTAAATGGCATTAATTCAAGACTAATGTGAAAAAAAGTGTAACAATTAAAGAATATCAATAAGCCCTGTATTTATGTGGGATAGGACTTAATTTAACATGACATAAAACTGTTTTATTAACAGAAAAAAAAAACAAATTTTTTAGCCTAACCAAATATTTATCAAGATTGGCTCATATCTGGTCCATACCTAACAGGAAAATATAAAAACTTGTTCTTCTAATAATTTATCAACGTTGTATTTCCCATATTTCTTTATTTACACTTTTTTTTTTTAATTTAAAAAAAAATTGAGAATTATCATCTGAGAATAAAAATTCTTAAACCTAATTCAATATCATTGAAATTACAAAAATATGGAATATGAATTAGTTTCATAGATGTATGTTATTAACCCTTAACAATTCAGAAATACTTTAAGTTTACTTGCCACCAAGTATAATTTATGACAAAATTTTCTGAAATTTTTTTTTTATAATGGTAAACATATAGACTACTAATTTAATGTAACAGAAGCTATTTCTGTTTACAAAAAAAAAGCCTTCACGTATAGAATAGAACAGTATATATATTTTTAAATTATAAATGTAAGAATTTTTTAAAAATCCAAACATAAAATAATACATATTCTAATATTATTGGAGATATTCTCCTGTTCTAAAAACCATTTGTATACTTAACCTTTTTTTAAATTTTTGCTATTTGGAAATTGCTTTTTATAATATCAATCTGAAATTCTAGCTAAAGCCAGTCATTGCGGAATTTTTTTTACTCTCAATAGAAAGTAGAAGGGGGGAAAAATCATGCGTTTTTCCCCCCGCCAATATGCGAGAAAATAATTTTTTGAATATAATCCTGCAGGAAAGGGAAAAATAATTATGCAGATAAAAAAACCTAGAATTCTTAGCTTCCCAAATAGAAGATCTTTCTGTAGGAATGTACTCTGTAACATTCTGCGACAATGTTGCCATGTCACCACGATTCTGCCACGGGGGTAATTACAATAATTAATTATAATACCAATTATAATTTTGTAAAATTATAATTAAATATAATATTAACTATAATCTTATAATTATAATAAAATTAATTATAAATATGACAGCAATAAGTATATATATATGTGGCATTAGACAGTAATTGCGGCATTAGTAGTTGCAGCTTTAGTAAGTAAAAGTGCCAAGCTCTCACTTATCTATTATGCACACATCAGTATGCTCTAAAAATAAGTTGAATGCATTTCAATCTAGGAATCAAGTTAATTTATCTTGGAAGTTTTATTCTAAGGATAATTTTGTTTTTGAAGTAAAACCTATTGATACAGCGCAATAAATTTTTAAAAAAATGCCATTGAAAGAGGTAGTTTTTTCTAGTGGGCCCATCAGTGAAAACACGGGCAGGTTTTTTCAGTCTGCACCAATTTTGGCTAACCCTGCAAAAGAAACAATGAATTTAACGTACCTTCAATATTTTCTTCAGACTCAGTGGTACCACTCATGTCGGTGGGATATTCAGTGGATTTTAAAGTGGGAATATTTTTGGATTCAGAATTTTGTGAAGATTTATCAGCAGCTTCTTCACTCACAGATGGAGGAGGAGGATCAAATACACACACTTCATTTCCCGTTTCCTTCAAGAACAATACGAAAAAGAATAAGTTGAGTAAGACAATATAATTTTGAAGCAGAAAATCCTTCAATATAGCTTTTAATATTGGCAATGTAAAAAGGAAAGAAATGTAATTGAAAATGAGATTGACTTTCGATTATACTAGGCAGTAAAAAAATACTACAAATATCAACAACTTAAAGTGATAATCGAAGAATTTAACAACATGCTATGTTTTAGTTTTTAAAAAATTACAAACTTAAATTTCAATAACTGAACTATATAATTTCATAATAGTTTTGATCTTTTATTGATTTTTTGATTTTTCTGAAATTTTCACGTCAAAGGACTAAGTTAACCGTTTTAACAATAACAATTGCTTAAACATGGAGTAAACAAAAAAACACTTAATCTCCCATACATCTTTTCTTGTAAATGACCCTATAAACACCTTTCAGTTCAAAATAGCTCAAATTAGTCGTAAAATGAAGTTTTGATATCAACTTTGGTCATTGGCAACTTAACTGAATTATATTTATTTACGTCTTGGATGTAGTTACTGTTAAGAGGTTAGTTACTGCTTTGTACTCCGGTCATTTTATTTTACAGGGTGCGTAGCCAAATCCTTCAACTAAAAATAAGCACCTTTTAGGTACATCTTGAGCACTCAAAAATATTTTTAAGCTCTACATACATTAATAAAATGCAAAATAATTTTTAAAGAATTTACATGATCGTGATAAAATAACTAATTTCTCACAAAGAACTCTTTTCTTGATTACATTAGCCATTATAAAAAGACCAAGAGATCTTTTTGTTCAACATCAGAGGGTCGAAAATGAAGTCCAACAATAGCATCACTGAACCCAGCTCAGATGCACATGCGAGCTCTCAAGCATTTTATCAAAGCTGTAATATGATTGGCACGCTATGAACCGACGGTATGCCAATATGGATTGCGGCTGAATAAATTGTGAAAACATTGAATAGAACAATATGAAAAGAACGCTTTTGCATAATACGTGGCGAAAATTGACATAGTAAATAAAAAAAATCTAGTTTTGAAAAAGGGAAAATTAAGCACTCTTTAAAAACACCCAATGAAAAAAGTACCTTTAAGGGCTTTTAACGAACGCTACGCGCCATGTTCTTATATACTGATCCCATGCATCTTTGATGCACAGGTGAACTGTAGACTAGATTTCTGATTCTTAAATAAACAAGGAAAACATCGTTCAAGGGAAGGAATTCTTTTTATTGACAACTTCAGTAGTGTTTTATAGAATCTCCCAGATCCCACAATTCAAGAGTAAACTCACCTAAGTATCAATGGATACTGAAATTAATAAAAAAAACAAACATCATTTTTAAACTAATAAACAGCAGCGGTGGCCATAGCAACGCATGCAATGATGACACCTACACATTGAACAACACGAACAAATGACTTATAATCAAATGCTTCTGTAATGAAAAATAAGAATAAAATAAAAACACTTTAATAGCTATGAATACATTTAAATAAAAAAAATATTGCTGTTTCTATACAAAACAGGGGTCAGCAAAATTTTGCCTAGGGTGTGTGCTGCACTTATGTATTTTTATTATTTTGCACTTATTATTACAAATTTAAGTAATAGAGGTGAAAATTGCATTTTTGCTTAGGTTTAAAATTATATTCCTAAATTATAAGGATTAAATGAAAACATATTTATAATCAAAAACTTCTTTAATAAACTACCAACAGTCACATCAGTGAGCTTAGACGTAATACTTGATTTTACAACTTTTATCTTAGAAAACGCTTGTTTGCCAACTATGCTTGCTCAAATTTGATGAAACATGTATTTTAAATATTTTAATTGTTAGAAATACAACATTGAAATAAAGAGATAAAACTGATTCTTACTGATTCATCTTCAATGAGAAGTTCATTTGCAATGTCTAGAAGATTTGGATCGCTTTTGTGATCATCCTTTAGTAGACTCTGGTCAGAATTTCTGGTAATTTTTAAGTCTTCATCAACTATAAGGGGGGCTACATAATCATCATCATCACTCGTCAGTCCCAGCTCTTCACCATAACTGTAGTGGACCCATTGCCACAGTTCTTGCGATGACATCGGCTAATAAGACACATAATAATGCATCACAAGAACATACAGAAATAGAGACAAATAATAGATAACAGTTTTGATAGTTTCTTAACAGTATAATTAAATTACAATGCAATTAATGGATCTAATTACAAAACAATTAATTAAATTAGAATACAATTAATGTATTTGTGGGAAGAGTAGATATCGACCATGTAAACCTTCATCTATGAAAAGGTACTCCGTCGTAGAATCGAGTTAACATGTCTTATATACTAGTGAATTGGAATTGTGTTTTTATAGTGGTAGACACACTACATATTGAATTACAATACAATTCAATACATTAAATTACAACACTTAAATTGCATGAAATTTCTTAACAATATATATAATTAATTAATTAAATTAGATTATTTTCCATTGTTAAGTCATTTCATAATGACTCCATTATATCACCATACAGGAAACATGGGACAATAAAAGAATAAAGTCTATCAGAAATATTTTATTAAAATGCTGCCCTATAATAATAAAAAAAAAATTTAAAAAAGGAGAAGGAAAAAGACAATCATTAATACCAAAAATTGCAGTAGAAAGGACGAAATTGACTTGCCTGCAAATTATTTTTAAAAAGTAGTACTAAAATTCGTGGTTAATTATAAAAAGTAATCCATTTGCAATTCTTCAAATTTTGTTTTTCCATTTATTAACGAGAACATAAATTTGCAAGTCATGTACATGCACATTAATTTTAGAACATAACAAATATGTGTAAAAACTATTTCTAATGACGTGTAGTTAAAAATATGATATTGGTCTTTTTTTATTAAATCAATTCTAATTCCAAAATAATATTCCTTATTAAATCTATTCAAATTCCAAAAAACAATTTTTGTAAAATACTGTTACAAGAAATACTTTGCTGAATATTTGACTGAATATTCGATCAACAGAATAAGCAGCAAAAGGCCGGAATAGGCTGAATGTTCGTTATATCCCTTATTACACACATTATTCATAAAATAAATTATCCTAAAATATGGAAAAAAGTTAATCCAATTTATTGAAATACCTGTTCAAGCAACGCATTCTGCCAAATGCGAAAAAGCATCAAGAAAGTTTTATCTCTAGCACCAAATGATGTGAAGAAATGCTTTTCTGTATCAGTGCTTATCTGTATTGCATTCGGGATCACCCTCGCAGTCTTTTCTTTCGTCATGCTCGTGACATCACGGCACTTTATTGTCACCTAAAACATACCATGCATCCATGTCATATAGAAAGTAGGGATATACCTGGTACCTGACCAGTATCTCATATGTTCTCATTGTATCATCAAAATTTAAAAAAATTAAAAACAAAATTGATAATTTATTATTAAATTTCGCATTGTTTATTAAAATTATTTAAAAAAATTCATTTAAAAGTACAATTGCATTTCCTTGGTCACTGTATTTCTTGAATATTTTAGTGAAATTTAGCTTATTTAATAAGTGATTAACGTAATAAATTGTGTAAAATCTAAATTTAATGTTCAGTAATATCTAAACAATTTGTAGCAGAAATCTAACACACAGTTTCCATATTAAGCCTAAAAATAAATTATTTTGCTTTTCATATTTTTTTTTCTTCCTCATAATATACAAAGGTGGGAAAAATATAGAGAGAAATATATTTTACAAACAACAAGGTTCATACTCAAAGAGAAGAAAGTTTTTCCTTAATTATTCCAGGTATTCTAGGTCAATTTACATAAAATTATTCCATTTATTATTCCAGATATTCTATTTAATTGCAATTAATAAAGTTTAAAAAAAAAACTATTTAAAATATGTTTCTTCAAAATCTCAAAGCCAAAAAATCAACCGCTTCCCTTACCATTTTCTTGAAGAAAAAAAGCCAAAAAATCAACCGCTTCTCTTACCATTTTTTTTGAAAAAAAAAAGGCCAAAAAATCAACCGCTTCCCTTACCATTTTTTTTGAAAAAAAATGCCAAAAAATCAACAGCTTTCCTTACCATTTTTTTTGAAAAAAAAAAGCCAAAAAATCAACACATTTTTTTATTTTATTAATAAATACAAGGAAACAAAACATAATACACAAGTTCTAAGTTGAAATTTTAATTGTTTTATGTGTATAAAATATATAATTTACCATCAGTTTACCATCCCAAATTACCTGTGGCAAATGTAAAAAGCTAAATATTAGTCTTTGTAAACGTTCACGTTTTCATAATCTGAAAAATCCTCTGCATTACTTTCACTTTCGCTCGAGAATACCATCTTTTTAAACTTTTTTTTACTATGTAAATTCATCAGTAGGGTTGCAAGTTTGTCGCGGCGCGAATTTTCGTGAAATTTAAAGTTTTTTTCAAAAATTCGCGAATTTTTTAAAATTTCGCGATTTGAACGAAAGTTATTCAATTCGCGCGATTTAAATGAAAATTATTCACAATTTGAAGTTATTATTTAATACCATTTCATCTTTCGTCATTGACAATGCGTCTTACATGAACAAAGCATTGGAAAAAAGTTTGAAAGCAGTTTTCTTGAATGCTGTTCATGTGACTTGCAATGCACATCTTTTAAATCTCCTAGGAGAAAGATGGCAAAATCAATTTGAAAAAGTGAATTCTTTTATTGTGCATTTAAGCGTGCATTCACAGCATGTCCCACACGTAAGGGTCGATTTCGAGCCTTTTTTAGTTGAAAAGGGTAAAAACGCCGCTCTACCACCGGTTCCTGTACAAACCAGATGGAATAGCTGATTTAAGGCAGCTTTGTTTCACGTAAATTACTTAGCTGAATATGCAGAGTTCTTCGATAAAGAGCAACAAAATAGCAGTAGTTCTTTGATCAGCACGATTTCCGAAGAATGTTGTAACGCAGAATTGAGTGAAGATTCAAGAGAGATTGAAAAATATGCATCTTTAATTTTGAATCTATTAAATTTATATGAAAAACAAAGAATAAGTTTGCATGTTATTTTTAATGAAATGTCTGATCTTGCTGAAGATTTAAAAAGCAAATCTATAACCTGCCAGCACTTGAAATCTAAAAAAGCTTTAAAATCATGCCAGGAAAAAATTCAGGCATACTTTTTTGAAGGCAATATTACAACACACAGATTTCGTCAACCAGCATCAAGCTTTTTTAAAGCATGCAGAGCTTTTGATCCTAGTCAATTCAAATACTTAGATGTTTTCCAAGAAGATGATAGTTCTTTTATTTTTAACTCTATCCCCATGTTTGAGGATGAAGAAGAGTTGAAGAACGAATTTAATGCTTACAAAGCGACAGTTAATGAACTA